ATAATTTCGTTGATTGTAGATACTTGGTTTAAAGAAAAAAAAACTATCGGTTTCCGTTTTCTTTCGTTCCAAACCCCGTTCCTTCAATCTCGTCTCCTTATTGGAATTTCCTCCCCCCCCTTCTTCCCCCTTCTCCCCCCTCCCCCCTCCTCCTCTGCCTCATCAGCAGTGAAAGTAAAAGCTCCCCCTTTCCTCCCCCCCTCCCCTTCTCCTTTCTCCCTCCCCCCTCCCCCCTCCCCCCTCCTTTCTCCATCTTTTCTCCTCCTTTCTCTCTCCCTCTCCCCCCTTTCTTTCTCCTTCCTCTTTTCTCTTTCCCCCTTCTCTTTCCCTCCTCCTCCCCCTTCTTTCTCCTTTCTCTTTTCTCTTTCCCCTTTCTCTCTCCTCCACCCCCTCCTTTCTCCTTTCTCTTTTCTCTTTCCCCTTTCTCTCTCCCTCCCCCCCCTCCTTTCTCCTTTCTCTCATTCTCCTTCCACGCCCTCCATCCTTTTTATTCCTTCTCTCTTTCCCTCCTTTTTTGTCGTCTTCCTTCTTCTCCTCTTTCTAACCTTCTTTTTTTCTTTAATCGGTTTTCTTCTTCTTCTTCCTTCTTTCTTATTTTATTTATTTATTTTTTCATGTCTTTTTTCGTTTTGACGTTCTCAACTTTTCTTTCTTCTTACTTTTTCCTTCCTTTTCCTTTCTCCTCTCTTTATCACATTTTCCCTTCTCCAACGATTCTTTTCGCTTTTTCTTCCATTTCCTTCACCCTTCCTTTGTCCCTTTTCTATTCTCCTCCTTTTATCACTTTTCTCCCTCTCCTCTATCCTCTCTTCCTATTACTCCCTTTTCTATGCTTCCTTCCTTTATCACGCCCCTCCTCCTCCTCCCTTTCGCGTTCTCGCCCTTTCTTCTCCCTCCTTCCTTCCCTCCCTCCTCCTCCCTTTCGCTTTCTCCCCTTTCCTTCTCGCCGTCCTCCCCCCTCCCCCCTTCCCTACCCCCTAATTCCTCACCCAAATTAGGGGGGGGGGTTCGTCTAAGCGAAGAGCGGCCGGGGAAATGGGCAGTTGCCGATGACTGTCTCCTGATCTCTCTCTGTGTCTGTCTGTCTGTTTGTCTCCCTCTGTCTGTCTGTCTCTGTTTGTTTGTCTGTTTGTCTCTGTCTGTCTGTCTGTCTGTCTGTTTCTCTGTCTGTCTCTCTGTCTGTCTGTCTGTCTGTCTCTCTCTCTCTCTCTCTCTCTCTCTCTCTCTCTCTCTCTCTCTCTCTCTCTCTCTCTCTCTCTCCCTCTCTCTCTCTCTCTCTCTCTCTCTCTCTCTCTCTCTCTTTCATCTCTCTCTCTCTCTCTCATCTCTCTCTCTCTCTCTCTCTCTCTCTCTCTCTCTCTCTCTCTCTCTCTCTCTCTCTCTCTCTCTCTCTCTCTCCTCTTTCGTCTCCCGTACTCGGTAGTAAACGCGTTCATACACGTGTAAAGAATAGATGCATACGCACACGCTTAAAAACACGCACATGGATACAGACGCTCATGCTGACACACATACACGTAGGCACACACGCACACAGCCGCATAGAACTCAGAGATACACACACACACACACGCACACGGCCGCATAGAACTTAGAGATACACACACATACACGCACACAGCCATATAGAACTCAGAGGTGTACACACACACACACGCACACAGCTGCATAGAACTCAGAGGTGCACACACACAGACACACACGCACACAGCCGCATAGAATTCAGAGGTGCACACACACACACACACACAGCCGCATAGAACTCAGACACACACACACATGCACACAACCGCATAGAACTCAGAGATATACACACACGCACACAGCCGCATAGAACTCAGAGATACACACACACACACACACACAGCCGCGTAGAACTCAGAGATACACACACACACACACACACACACACGCAGACATACACAGACACCACAAAGGTAAAACACGAAGCTAATTGTTCATTTTATGGATTGACTTCTCTGACTAATGACTCTGACTAATGACTCGACTACACGCGATCCCATGAACCTGTCTGCTGAGAATTGGGGTTTGGGGATGAGTAGGGAAGGGGGTGGGGACGCCGCCGCTGCAGATGGACGCGAGCGAATTGGCCGAAAAGAAAGTGTCAGCGAAAGTGACCAACACCTTCACGTACGGATCTCTCGCCGTCTCCTCGCGGCTGATCGATCTTTCTTTCTTTTTCTTTTTTTAATTCCCACTCATTTGTCAACTTTTTTTTTTCCTTCTTCTGTATCATACTTTCCTTCTTTTGCTACCCCATTTTTTCTGCGTTTCATTCCTTTCTCGCGTTCCTCCTCCTCCGTCCTTCCCTCCTCCCTTTCGCGTTCTCACCCTCCCCCCTCCCTCCTCCCCCCGGCCCATCCGCTTTATAGGCCTCGAAATCGGAAAGCCTTGCCCGAGGCCGCAATAAAAGCCGCGGCGCGTTGTGATCAGCGCGGCTCTGGATTCCGTTTTTCTCACGTCTGCGTTTGCCTTGCAGGTGGTGGCTGCGGCGTCGGGCCTTCCGCAGGGGTGCCGCAACCCGCGCGGCTGCCGCAGTGTTAGGCCGACCGGCAGGCCCTTCCGAGCCCCCGTGGGCGCCCTCAGGTCCCCCGCGAGACCTCCCAGGACCCAGGCGGCGGCAGTGAGACGCCCCGCGAAGAGGCCAACGCCCGCCGCTGCTCCTGCCGCGGCGCCGTCGGCGGAGCTGGCCGCGGCGCCCCTGAGCGAGGACCAGTTCGACGTGAAGCCGCAGGTGGGCGTGGACGGGTGGCTGGCGTCGCCGAAGAGGACGACACAGCCGGCCATCGAGGCCAGGACGGAGCCGCCCTCCAAGGCCGGTACGTGGGCGCCGCCGAAGGCCGTCTTTCCTGCCTCGAAGGGCGGTCCTCTGATGCTTTGCCCTTTTTCATCACGAAATAAACTTCCTTTCTGATGCGCTGAAATTTTAGTAGCAAGCCACATGACTATATTGTTATAGATATCCCCAGAGAGTATGCCACTCCTACAGGATGACATGCGTATGTTTTAGCTTTATTTCTTCTCAGTCATATTCTCAGAATACCTAGACTTTTCTTCAGAATATCAGGGAATCATTTTTTTTTGTTAGAGGAATGTCACTCACACCAAACTTCATATGTTGCTTTACATATCTGTAACGTACACACACACACACACGCACACGCACACGCACACACAACCGCACACACAAACCAGACCCATAAAAAAAAGAAAAAAAACAATAAAACAAAAAAATCTTACGACTCACTTCTCCCACATCTTTCACTCACGCCCACTCTTTTTCTCCCCTCCCTCCCTTCCCCTCCCACAGACAAGCCCGGCAGCTGCGACACGCCCAAGGGCTTCGGGATCAAGTGCATGACGCGGCTGGACCAGTGCACGAAGGACCACGAGTGCCCCGGGTCCACCAAGTGCTGCATGGTCGGGGAGTGCGGATACCTCTGCGTCAAGCCGAAGCGTAAGTTGTTGTTGAGGGGGGGGGATGGTGGGGAAAGGGGGGGGGGTGGATGGGGAAAGGGGGGGTGGATGGGGAAAGGGGTGGGGGGTTGGAGGGAAAAGGGGATGAGGGGGGGGGTTTGGGGTGGGTAGGGTGAGGTAAAGGGGGTGGGGAAAAGGGGAGGGGGTTGTGGGGAGGGCGAGGGTGGGGGGGTAGGGGGTAGGTATGGGGGTGGGATTAAGAGGATAGGGAGTAGTATATATATTTTATTAATAGGGCTATATGAGATATATTTCTATAACTTGCAGGTGTCTATGATATCTATTTCTATAACTAGCAGACCTATATACAATATATTTTTTTATAATTGATAGGACCATATTAATATAACTAATAGAACTATATAGATATATCTTTTGTAACGTGTAGAACTACATAACGTATATTTCCATAACTAGTAAAAGAACATTTCTATAACTAATAAGACTATATAACATATATTTCTGCAACTAGTATGATTATATGATATTCATTTCTATAGCTAATAGCACCAGTGAACATTATTATTACGACAATCAAAGGGGAAAAGTCGAGAATAAAAGCTTACTTAAGTGCTATTATAACGAAAATCTTAATTTCAGGAAAAAAAAAACATTATAGCCTTACAGAGAAATGTTTAATATTCTTAGCTTGAGGATAGACTCACTAAACCGATTCTTTATTGTTTGAATTCATGTTCTTAATTACGGTCCAGTTTTAGGTTTGTTCTCGGTACAGTGACGAGGTAAGCTGAACTGGATGTTAAGTTAAGGATTGTATTTATTTAAACCTTGTCTCTCTGTGTCTCGGCTTGTAGGAGAGAGAGAGAGAGAGAGAGAGAGAGAGAGAGAGAGAGAGAGAGAGAGAGAGAGAGAGAGAGAGAGAGAGAGAGAGAGAGAGAGTGAGTGAGTGATATAGAAAGAAAGAAAAGAAAAAGAAACAGAAAGCTAGCGAGAATGTAAGATCCAACTGGAAATTAGACGCGAGAGAGAGAGAAGGAGAGAGAGAGGGGGAGAGAGAGAGAGAGAGAGAGGGAGAGAGAGAGAGAGAGGGAGAGAGAGAGAGAGAGGGAGAGAGAGAGAGAGAGGGAGAGAGAGAGAGAGAGGGAGAGAGAGAGAGAGAGGGAGAGAGAGAGAGAGAGGGAGAGAGAGAGAGAGAAAAAGGGAGAGAGAGAGAGAGATGGAGAGAGAGAGAGAGAGAGAGAGAGAGAGAGAGAGAGAGAGAGAGAGAGAGAGAGAGAGAGTGAGTGAGTGAGTGAGTGAATGAGGGACTGAGTCAGAAAGATAAAGATAAAGAAAGAAAGAAAAAAAAAGAAACAGAGAAAGCTAGCGAGAATGTAAGATCCAACTGGAAATTAGACGCGAGAGAGAGCGCAAGATCGGGAGCGAAGGAAGAGGGAGAGAGAGAGAGAGGGAGAGGGAGAGGGAGAGAGAGAGAGAGAGAGAGAGAGAGAGAGAGGGAATGAGAGAGAGAGATTGAGAGAGAGAGAGAGAGAGAGAGAGAGAGAGAGAGAGAGAGAGAGAGAGAGAGAGAGAGAGAGGGAAAGAGAAAGAGAGAGACAGAGAGAGAGAGAGAGAAAGAGAGAGAGAGAGAGAGAGAGAGAGAGAGAGAGAGAGAGAGAGAGAGAGATCCTCCTGCAATATCCGTCCGTGCAGCATGATCCCTGGCCAGGTGTCTCGGGGCCGCTAGACGTCAGCATGGGTTCTGTAATGCTGTCTGCGCAGCATTATGGGATATTCTTCTCTGATTTACGTTCTTCTCCTTTCACTTGAGTGGCATTGTTGCAGGTTGCAGATCTTGCGAGATCTTGTGGATGCATTTATATGCTTGTAGACACATACATACAGACAGGTACATACACACACACACACACACACACACACACACACACACATATATATATATATATATATATATATATATATATATATATATATATATATATATATATATATATATATTTATACACACACACACACACACACACACACACACACACACACACACATATATATATATATATATATATTAATTCATATTATATGTGTGTGGTGTAACATATCCTACACATTCAGAAAGGTGTCGCTGCTTTAGAAAGAAAAATACGTGCTTCTCTATTGGTTGTGTGTGTTTTTGTTATTTTTTTATGCTATTTTTTTTCTCCAAGCATGACTATCTATGCGCCAGGATTTTATGTTTTTTTTTGTGATTAATCTTGTTCCAGCATTTTGTACTGCCTTCGGGAGCTTTTACTAACAGCCTATATATATTTTTTTTATGTCTTTGAATGTGTTTCATTTGTGTTAATGTTTCTCTCTGCATGGGTTTTCAATGCTTGTGGAATAGTGACAAATATTTCAAAAACAGCAGCTTTGCGTGTTAGAAGAGGATTTAGAACAGTAATTTAGAGTCGGAAGTTCAATATAATTTTTGTTGGATGTTAAAACACTCTGCCGTGTTGGTACTACAGTAGAAAACCCCACAATGCACAAATTAGATTTATTAAAAACGAGACCACAATTTCTTCAGGTCTGATGATGAATTAAGGAGAATTTCGAGAATGTTGTCTCGTTTTTCGATAAGTTTAGTTTGTGCGTTGTGAGTTTTTTCTATCATCTTTGTTATCTTTATGCAAGATTCTCTGACATGGTTGATATTATTGCAAGAAAAAATTGGTTTATTGAAAAATTAGACAATTGTTTCGATATGCTTCTAGATCTGAAGTTTTTTTTTCAATAAAGCTCTTTTGAATTTTGAATTTCGAGATATCTATTTTTTCTCTTCAATTTTCATCTGACTTTAATTCGCTTTCGTACCATTTGCTGCTTTATTTTTGCAATGTTTGTCATTTTTTTCATTAGACATTTTGCGGCATGTGTTAAGCTCGCCTCTTTCCCTTAAGGTTATTAGCCAGCGCTCCCACTGAGCCTCGGTGACCTCGCTTCGCTTCTGAATGGTGGCCTGACCTCGCTTATGAATGACCCCTGTGACCTGTGACCTGCGAACAACCCCTGTGGCGATGCTGGTTTCGCGGCTGCCTGTGCTTCTTTGCTTCCCTGCGTTGACCTCCTCTCCCCCTCCCCCCTCGCCTGCTTGCCGAGGACGCTCAGAGACAAGGTCGTGACCCCCGCGAACCCCGTGACCTTTGACCTGTCACGGGGGGGAGGGTGACCATCGACTGGTTTGTCTCCCCCCAGTGACCTCCAGCGAACCGAAGGAGGCGGCGAAGGAAGACCCGAAGAGCGAGGCGAAGAAGAACAAAGAGAAGGACGAGGAAGAAGAACAGAAGAACGAAGGAGAAGGAGAAGGAGAAGAAGAAGGAGAGGACCAGAGGAACGGAGAAGAACAAGAGGGAGAGAGGACGACGACCCTGTCTCCTCCTGAAGGTGGATCGGAAGAGAGACAGAACGGAAGCAACGAAAAGGTGGAAGGGAGAGAACAGATCGGCGAAGAAAGCGAAGAAGGAGAAGAGGCAACAACGGAGAAGACAGACGTTGATCAGAAGGAGAAATCGGGAGAAGAGGAAGAAAAGGAAGTGAAGGAAGGAGAGATTGAGGGTAAAGAGGAAGGGAAAGAAGGGGAAAAAGAAGAAACAGAGAACCAGAAGGCAGCGGAGGACGTGACCACGACAGCGCCTTCAGAAGGAGAGGAAGCGACGGAGGCACCGAGCCAGGAGGAGGAAAAGGAGGAGGAAAAGGAGGAGGAAAAGGAAGGGGAAAAGGCGTAAAGGAATAGATACAATCAAAAAATTTACGCCCCGTTTTCTTGTTAACTAATGCTGTTCGTTTCATCCTGTTGTAAGTGTATGTTCGCTGTTTAATTCATAACGTTTTCGAAGCTAAGGAAACATACAGACACACACACACACACACACACACACACACACACACACACACACACACACACACACACACACACACACACACACACACACACACACAACCCCCTTCCCGCCCACCCCACACACAACCCCCCACTCCCCCACACAACACCCCCACCCCACC